AATGTTTTTATAAATATATCATGTTGTTTTACAGCTTGTTGCTGCTGCCTTTGGTGCTGCTGGTCAACGGTGTATGGCATTGTCCACAGCAGTATTCGTAGGCGACTCTAAAGACTGGATTCCTGATTTAGTTAAAAAGGCAAAGAGTCTTAAAGTTTCTGCTGGTGAGATTAGCAGTCATTGTTTCCAAACCATTTTCTAGTAAACTTTATATTGGTGCTATGATAATATGACTTCATTTGTTGTTTACTTTATACATAGGTGTTGAAAAAGGTGCGGATCTTGGACCTCTGATTTCACCGCAGGCTAAAAGGAGGGTTTGTGATTTGGTACAAAGTGGTGTTAATGAAGGAGCTAATCTTATCTTAGATGGCACAAACATTGTTGTACAAGGATATGAGAAAGGAAACTTTGTTGGACCTACAATTTTAACCGATGTCAAGGTCAGATATTGCTTCACTTATTATTAAATTAAATAATTTTTTTTTACAAAATACAACCCTATAAATTACACCCTGTGAGCTCTCCTCCCCAATAACACTTTTTCGAACCCCTTCAGATTTCATCCTGATAACACTTCCTCATGACTTGCAACCCTACCCCCCCCAAAAAAAAATTTACACCCCCCCAATCTGCAAAGCAAGTCAATATTTGGGTCTGATTGTACAGAGTATTAGATATTAGTTTTAATATTTGCTACTCAAGCATGCTCTATATGCCTTTGCACTGCACTGCACTGTTGTTGTTTACATTTTAGCCAACCTGTTTGTGGATATCTGAATTGTTAACAATGTTCACTGATAACAACTAGTTCATGAACTGCTGTGATACATACATACATATTTAATAACAGTAAACTGGTTATTGTCAATTGCACACACAAAACGTAAACAAGTTCAATGGTCTCTGGGCCAAACCACTGGTCCATGATTGAGTTGTAACCATGTTTGTAATTATGTTATCTTTGCCTTGCAGACAAACATGAAATGTTACACAGAAGAAATATTTGGGCCTGTCTTAGTAATAATGTCAGTAGATACTTTGGATGAGGCTATACAAGTTATTAATTCCAATCCCTATGGTAACGGAACTGCTATCTTTACAACCAATGGAGCGACTGCAAGAAAGTTTACAAATGAAATTGATGTTGGGCAGGTGAGATGACTATTGCTTTGTTGCTCAAATCCTAATTTTTGTTTTAACTGACTGCTTGTGTGTGTATTTTTGTGCTTGCAAGTACAATAATTTATCTGCATGTACATAGAAACACTGGTCATATGATTGTTCATGTGACAACACTGATCATCAACTCCTGATGACCACATGTATTGACTACTTTTTGAGAAAGAAACATTTTATGCTAATAAGCATCAGGCTTGTATGTATTGTATTGTTTGTATGTACTGTGAGCAGTGTTTGGTGGTGATCGTGGTAATACATTGTATCTTGATTGCTTATTCCTGTAGATTGGAATCAACGTTCCCATTCCAGTGCCATTGCCTATGTTTTCATTTACTGGGTCAAGAGGATCCTTCCTGGGAGATTCCAATTTCTATGGAAAAGCTGTAAGTTTAATTTAATTAACAAAATGTTTCATTATTCATTTAAGTTCACTTAGCGGCAGTCTAATGAAAACTTTGGTCCAGCAAACCACAATCTGTGTTGTCGCAATTATATGCTAACTTTTAATGTGTTTCTATTTTTTTCTACAGGGTGTGAATTTCTATACACAGTTGAAGACAATAACATCGTCATGGAAAAGCGAGGACGTCTCGTATGGTAGTAAGCCAGACACAGCTTTCCCTACCCCGAAGTAACCAATTCCAGATATCATCAAATTAATATTAAATAGAATATAAACATGTACAGTAGTGCAAGGTGTTCATTTACCACTTATCCAGTCTTCCTTACTCTCTGCAGTGATTGGTTTCATGCTAATATTACAATCTTAGTTGCCAGAAAATTGTAATTGGAAAGGGTATTATAGGTATAATCTACCGGGAGTCAAAACTAGTTTTTAATACACGTTTCTAAGATCAATCTGTTAGTCATGCTTGTATTACTGTATATCACTTTAATTTTGTGACATGAATTTTTGCAACATTTTCTAGCAGCAAGTATTTCAGTGACTTGCTCGTGCTGAAAATTAAACAGTATATATATGAGATGGTGTTGTATCGCCATTGACATGTTAAGTCTTGTTTTAAGCAATAACATTGTGGATATTAGCCTTACTAATATGTGATATTGAAATTAATAAATAACCAGTGTCACTGTCAATTGTCTTAATCTTTGCCATTTACAACACTGATTGTGATGCAGCCATGCATGTTACTTCAAGAGTGTCTAGTGTGTGAAAGTTGTGCACAAATAAAATAGATGCTCATTGTATTTATAATAATAAATCTTTAATAGTATTACAGTGATGTAAAGCTTACACTGTGTCCAATCATAAAATGTAATTGAAGGTATAGTCTCCCAGCATAGAAAATATCTTGACTGTTCATCATGACCTAAACCATTTAACAGCAACTAAATATTGGATTAAAGTTATAAGCTACAGTACATACAATTCAGGCTGACGTATTTTCATAGTTCTGCTGGAAATAATTTTTCGATGAATACTTTTGGGGCATTTTATATGAGTTATGAGTAGAATGTATAGTAAAAAAGATAGATTCGCTAGTTTTTATTTCAAAGTGAAAATAAAAGTATTCTACACCCCAAGAATTCCACAGGCAACACCAAAACATAATATCTATGTGTAGATTTCTTGACTAATTCAGTTATGAGAGTATCTACCAAAAATAAGTGCCTTACAGAAATGTATAAATATTGAACACGTCAGATGTTGCTAGAACGGTAGGCACTCTCTAAAAACGTAAGCCAACCTGTCTGACAAAAGTTTCATCACGGTCCCAATATACATAAATTTGAACCAGAAACGCTTTTTAAAACTAAATTGACACCATTCAGCCATCTTGAATAATTTGCATATGCATTCACTAGGTCAAGTTCATGAAATATACACTAGTATTTGTCTGCCTAATTTCATGGCTACATTGAGAAGGTGTAGGGTGAGATGCAGTGGCAACAAAATACAGCAAGGTGACTAAAATTATTGAATACGATTGGTCGTTATGGAAGCCAAATTTAAGTTTGGTACTACAAGTACATTTTTAGTTAATGAATAACATTAAAAAAAAGATATACTGCTTTAAGTAAGTTGACGAAATATTTTTCTAAATTGATGTATTCATTGACAGATAAATGGTGAGCACCACTATACAGTATTCTCTGAGAAAGTGTCAAATCTATTGCATTGTTGACAGGTCTGGGGGTTATTGAATACCTTTGATGATAGAATTCACCTTCATGATGTATAGCACTGTATAATACTGAAAAAAAGGAAAACCATCCTTGAAATATAATTTATGTTAAATAACTCAAAAAAAAACCAACAGATTATTTTAGAAATGCAGTACTTTTTTTGGAACAAAAACGTAAAAAATTAAAAAAAACTTCCTGTACCATCATGCAACATGCCAGCCTGTTGCTAACTTGGTATGCTTATTTCGTTGACCCCTTCCTTCCATACAAGAATGGAATTTCTGCTACAATTTCTTTTCTGCAATTAGTGGCTGTTGATTAGCATCATAAATATTGCTATATTGGTGCAAATCTGAATATGCTAATTTCTCAAGGAATGGCAGATGTAACCCCCCCCCCCCCCCCAATGAGCTTTATCAATTGATGCTTGTCACTGTTACAGGGACCAAAGTATGACCGCCCCCAATGTTTGTGAAGTTGCAAATAAAATTAATATTAATGAGCAGAATATTATGGAGAGGGGGCACTTCTGGATCATTATGCTAGTCTGTCACAGAAAAACCCGTTGGAAATCCTGTGTAGCATAGTTTTGCCTAACAAGACCTCATTTGCAGATGAAGAGATTGAAGTACCAACCCTGATTGGTATCAACTGAAAGAAAATCGTCTTGGTAAAAAGCAATTCAATGAAGTTAACCATAACACCTGAGAGGGACTGCTAAAATAAATCAATAAAAGTAACTGTACAATGATAATTGTGAGAATCTTTAAGTTCAGTTAATGTGACAAGGTACTTGATATGCTCTTGTTCTCAACACACAAATCAGACAGACTGCCACGTTTTGACAGTAGCTGACAAACAAACAAATTGTGTTCAAGTTTACATTCAACGCCTTCTTCGCACCCTACGATTTTCCCTAATATAATTTCTAAACTGGTTCGCTCTGGCAGCAGGATTAGCATTGGCCACTCCATTCTGGGCATTGTTATCATGAAAAGGATTTACTGGTGCTGGATTAGCAAACTGAATATTAATTCCATTATGTGGTACTGCTGCTGCTACCTGGTTCCCATTGTCCTGAACAGCCCTCTGAATTCCACCCTGTTGTAGCCCAGCCATCTGAAGTCCACCCTGTTGTAGCCCAGCCATCTGAATTCCACCCTGTTGTAGCCCAGCCATCTGAAGTCCACCCTGTTGTAGCCCAGCCATCTGAATTCCACCCTGTTGTAGCCCAGCCATCTGAATTCCACCCTGTTGTAGCCCAGCTATCCGAATTCCACCCTGTTGTAGCCCAGCTATCTGATTACCATTTCCCTGTGCTGGTTGCCCAGCCATATGAAAACCATCATGATCCTGTAAAACTTGACCAGCAGCTTGATTGCCACCAAATTGAAAAGCATGTTGAGCTATGTGATTGCCAGCAGGTCTAGGTCCCTGGAATATCATGCCCATACCACCTTGTACCACACGCACTCCTGTATTATTAGCAATGATTTGCACTCCGGTTCCTGCTCCACCCTGAAAGCGTTGCACTTGAAAGGGATGAGGAGGTGGCAGTACTATTCCACCAAACTGAAAACCTTGTGGTCCCAAACCGAATGCCCTTCTTTGATTACCACCAGTAGTTTCCAAATCTGAAAAAAAAAATGCTTGAAAGTTACTTCACAACTTTTACGGCCAAAATTGTGTGCAACATTTTTTTTTTACACTTTATGTATTTGTCTTCATGTTTTTGTTTTTTAATGTACGGAAAAATTGTGCTGATTATTTTTGTGAAAAATGACAGTGGCGTTTTAATATGTTGGATTTCAACCAGGAAATAATGCAGTCTGAGAACTAACACAGTTTGTGGATTATTCCCAGAGTACCTATGTACCAGATTTCATTGAAATCTGATGAGTGATTTTTTTAATGAGTGGAACAGATTGAAATTTGATTATGTAAATGTTGATGATTGTTTGTTTATTTCCACCATAGACAACTAGATAAAGTGAACATAACATGAAATTGTTCCCAAAGAACTACATATCAATGTTGTGGTAAACTATTGGTAATAACTATTTTATCTAATTCTGACAAAAAATTTTACTGCGACATACAAATTGCACACAAGATTCAAAAACTAGGTACCCCCCCCCACAATATAACAATATAATAATTGACCGAATGAGCTTGTACTGACAGTGTCAAAGACTTAATTCACTCATTGGGTCACTATTAAATTAAATTGAACCAGGTCTGTTTATTAGCACAGTCAGCAAATTAATAGTTTTTTAAGGTATCAAGTATAGATCACAATAGTGTTGACATCAAGCCTGGACATGAAAACAGTTGATTGCACGAACAATGTTGAGAAAACACTGCTAAAACATCGCCTTGGGTGTAAAATAGAGTCTGTCTAGTTGACATGCTACATGTATATCTTCAGAACTAAATAGAACATTAGAATTCTGAGACCTACTTATTATAATCTTCCAAGGAAAAAGCGAAAAAATCAAAATATAGAAGGAACAGTAAGTAATGGACAACTGCGCAAACAAAATATTTTACAGGAATTTACATAACATAATCACCTAAGCAAATTTTAATAACACAAAAAGTACTAAATTGCCATGTTTTAAATCAAATATCAACAAGCCCTGCATGGCACAGTCCCCGTTAGTTATCAAATTTAAGATATATAGTTTTGTTTATAGTAATATAGCTGGAATATAACCATGTCAGGAATATGATTTTTTAACATTAAAATGATTGACATTTGTATCTGATCGTCAAACAAGTACTTGTCCATATTGAAGGATATTGCTCTGGAACAGCATTCAAAATCAGCCATTTTGAATATATAACATGATGTATAACGAACATATAAAATTTAAATATAATAAGTCAAAGCATTTAAGAGATATGGCTCTAGAAGCCCAATCACTAAAACAAAATGGCCGCCAGTCAGCCATTTTGAATCCAATCTGAAAAATAAAATGACGAGCATCAGGAACCTTAAATGTCTAATATATGTACCAAGTTTGAACGAAATCCATCCATAAACGCCAGAAATGCTGGATATTTAATGATTGTTTAGCACAAAAAAAGCCACCATTTGGCCATTTTGAATAGGATTGTCAAACCAATATATCTGTCTATCTATGGCATGATGTATAATGAATATTTAAAATCTGAACATAATCAGTGAAAGCAAGTCAGAGATATGGCACGAGAACCACATTCATTAATACAAAATGGCCGCTAGTCGGCCATTTTGAATCTTATCTGAAAAACAAAATTATTAGCATCAAGGTCCCATAATGTCTAATGTATATACCACGTTTGAACAAAATCCATCTGTAAACAGCCGAGAAATGGTTGATTTTTTAGCACAAAAATGGCCGCCATTCGGCCATCTTGAATCATATCGTAAAACAAAATGATGTGCACCAAGGTCCTATAATGTCTAATGTATATACCAAGTTTGAACAAAATCCATTAGTAAACAGCCGAGAAATGCTTGATTTTGATGATTTTTAGCACAAAAATGGTCGCTATTCGGCCATCTTGAATCAGAGCGTGAAACAAATTGACGTGCATATGTATAATATCATGTATGATGTATGTGTGAAGTTTGATTGTGATTGGTTCAGGCATTTCTAAGATACAGGTCCGGACGCATGTACAGACGCACACATGCACACACACACACGCGCACGCACACACTGAGGTAAAAACATAAGTCCCCGTTTTCGGACTGTGTCCGAACGGGGACTAAAAAGCAAGTTGAGATTTACAATTTTGGGGGAATTGGCACAAGGCTCCTATTGCTATGTTTACACGACAGCATTCAATCGGAGCTGAACTACTGCTCCACCCATCGATTAACAGGAGAATATCTCCAATATGTTTACACAGTTGGGGCCGAACGAGTGCTGAGATCCACCCAAGTTCAATCCAGTTCGTTTTAGTATGAAAACAATATGGTTAAAAACAATTTTGGTGTCATGCTTGTGTTATTTCTTCACATGGCAACAGAGAAGGTCAATGCAGAATATACTCTCCTTGAGAAACAGATACGCTCAAAGAAGATGAGCAAGGATGCAGCGAATAATTATTGCTTAACATTGCTGACGTACAGCTCTTATTTTTGCAATCATGGGTACTACCATTCGTTCATCAACAGTTGTCCGCACAGCTTGACGACATACACACAGTAGTTATTGGTGGGATTTCGGCCCTGATTGTTGGATTTTGATGTGTTTACAGGGTCAGAGCCAGAGCCATGTCGGGCCCAATCCTATCAGTGCTCAACCCCGAGGGATTATTTGAGCCAAACTTGGCTCAAGCCAAAAGCGTAAACACAGCCATTTTTGCTGGCTCGAGTTGTAAAGCTCTGATAAAATGCAGTCATGTAAATATCAACAGATTTTAACTCTAAACTAATCAGGTTTGTACATTGTCCTAGAGCATCTTTGTACTAAGTTTCATAATTTGTACTTTAGATATCAGTGTGATAGCCTAAAATTGGTAAGGTAATTAATACAGTCAAACCTGTCTATAGCGGCCACCCAAGGGACTTTGAAATTTTGGCCTTTATAGACAGGTGGCCTTTCTATACAGGTTCACTAATTTATTCATGAATATTAATTAGGCACTGAATGTATTAAAACGGATCTCGCAACCCCATTTGACACACTATTACACTACTGTACACAGTATCCAAACACTTTATTACAAATAAAAA